ATATACCCATGTAGACACAATGCAAAGATTAAAAATTTCAGAGCGACTGAAGGACTAGGTACATACTTTGACACCTTTCAGCATGTTGCAGGTAACCTAAATTGCATTTATATTCTTACTTTGTTGCTGGAGTAGTACTACAGACAAGAAAACGCTGGCACGCTTGCTTAGAGTTGTTCCCTCTGGGGCAGTCATGGGAAGACTACTGTATTTGCATTGCTTTCCTTGGCTGCCAGGTGTAGCAGCAGAGATAAGCTCCCGTGAAACAGGAACGGCAGTGAGGGTGTTCTGCCTCATGCCAGCTACCCATGAGCCAAGACTAAAATTCCAGTTATACAACTGCAATCCTCTTGTGTAGCGCAGGCTGTACCTTCTAGCTGGTGCACGACAATAGACAGTCTCCCTTTCCAAATCTTGATATAGCCAGTGCTCCCTAGGTGAAGCAAGTATTGTCCTTCCATCAATATGCTGACTGAACTGAAAATAAAGAACTGAATCAACTTAAAAAACATGAAAAAGGATCTGTGGGGACTTGGTCCCTCTGAGGAAGCGAAGATGGTGCCTTCCAGTGCTGGTTGCTAGCAGGATACAGGGTCCTGGGGGAACTGCTGGCCCGCTTACATGCAAAGCAATTGTCATCTGGCTGATTTTTCATTTCAGCTGTGAAACTGCTCCATTGTAAAGCCATTTCATCAAGCGGGAGAAAGCATCCCAACAAAAGAAGATCAATTTGTTTCCTTAGGCACAATTTACTCTTTCCCATTTCTGGGCTTTGTTGTATTCTTACATGACAACCTGAGAGGGCTTTTGATGTGAGCACTAGCCAAATTCGGAGATGAGACTCAAAAACCTGGGAAAGTACAAAGAGAATCCAACATTGTGTGACATTCACTTCCTCTCCTCCCCATAAGGCACACAGTAGCCCATCTTCTTCTATAGTCTGCTGGGCTGGATGCTGAACTCACTTCAAAGCTGTGCTAATGTAGACTCTTTCCAGCAACTTTGATGGCAACTGTCTGGATTTAAGCCAACACAACCTAGATTAGAATAAGTCTCACCTCCTCATCCATATGTAATATATAAATTCCCTCCTACCATTTTTGAATTTTGTCCTGTTGTGTAGGTTGGCAGCTAAGGGAGCCTCTCTAAGCATAAAACCAACACCAAAGAGGCAAATAACAAGAAAGCCTATAAACCCAAGTCTTGACAAGAATGCTCAGATGAGAGAACACTTTCTCGGCGTGCAAGTCACCCACCAGAAGACATGAAGAAAACCAAGAGATTGACTTTCTTACATCAATCCCTCATTGCCACTGAACAAAGCCCACCGAGTCATTTCATGCCTTACCCAGGTTGGAATTCATCCGCTTTTTGATACATTGGGGATCACTTAGAGACTGCCCTACTGTACAACTGGGAATGCCTGGGGTTCCAGATCAACTAATACTGGATACAGAACAGTTGTTTGGAGTATTTCCTAAGCCATTACCAACAGACAAGTAACGGATGTGGAACTGAATAACAAGGAGAGCTGAGGGCTGTCAGGGGAATTAGTGACTGGTATGAAGAATCACCCAGCCTCTCCACTACTCCAGAAACATTAAATATTAAGCATTAAAAATTGTGCACTTCTCTTTATCTGGTTAGTTATTTCTTTCCCCTCTTCCTGTCTTTTTTGTACTGCCCTTAGATGAAGGCAAAAACCTCTTCTGAATAGAAATGAAATGCCCTTGCCTTTTGCTTGTGTTTGCACCAGGGAAGATATCCACAGCTAACATGATACAGCCATTGTAGTAAAATTCAAGGCAGATGAACATCACCACACAAAAGTAGCACGGTCGGCACGCCTCACGGTAGTAGCAGCCAAGCATGCCATGGCAACCAGCCAACCGATGACACTGGCTAGGAGCCAATTTGATTTATTTTTGGCAGCCTGACACCACGTACTACTGTGCCAGTCTTCGATCACAGAAACGATATGAGATGACCTTTGAAAGCCAAGGGGATGACTTTCGGGAGAAGGGGACTGATGAAGCTGAAAGAGGATCTGTCCCCAGGCTAGAAGAGTACTGGAGTGGCAGATGTTTGGTAGCCCTCCCTCTTTCATGAATGACCAAGCCATCGCAGCCATGTCAGCAACCACCAGTGCTGTGTTTGCTGGGAGATGACTGGGAGGAAGGCTGAGATGTGGCACATGTCTTTAAGTCTATGGAAAGAGTAAGTACCGAGAGACAAACAGAGAGGTTTAAAGAGATGAGAAGGAACAATAAGATAAAGATGGAAAAAGAAAACATAGCCTTTCTGTCAGGAAATATTTCCTGTCTGTGGGAACTTTTATACTGTGACGATGCTCTTTTGTGGAATATTCTTTAAGGAGAAAGCAGCTTCTTACTATTCTGGACATTGTGCTATAGAGTGTATTGCGGAATACAACCCAGCAGCCTCAGAGAGATGGAAAAGAAGGCCTGTTTAATCTTTTTTGCATTTCTTTCTTGGATGGCTCTGGGGGCACTTACCCAGCTGTTCGAGTTTGTGACTGGAAGGCTGATATCATACTGGAATAGGAATTTAGAAAAAAATCTATATTCATTAACATTTTAAAAAGACTATCAGTTTGACTGGGGCCACACACCTTCCATGTTTGCTTTCTGCAAACATTGGTAAGCTTGAGTATTACTGCATGCATACTGAGTACGTATAAATAGATGCACATACTGGCCTTGAACAGCCAAACAATCACTGAAAACTCATTTTTAAATATATATTTGATTGCAGATTTTCCATCTTATATGTGCCTTGATATTTACATAAGTAACAGTATCATATGCAAATGCACATTAAACCATGCATTTAAATGGCCACTTCAAATGTGGTGGCCGTGAATGGTCAGCCACTTCAAATTATGTTAAATCCAACAAGAGCACAGGGAAGATATCTGAAAATATTTTAGAGTACTGCATAGAAATAAACAATTCTTTTTGAGTCTGGTGACTCAAAACAAGTAAAATTAAGTAAATTAAATAGCCTGCTACTATGAATTCCCTACCTCTATCCATTATAGCAGATTTATCTGACTAAAAATAGAATGTTAATTCAAAGCAGAATCACTATTCCCATTTCGGAATAAGGCATTCCAAGTCTTAAATAAGAGTTAATTAGCTCTCATTATCCTGTGCACAGAGGACCACACAACACCAAGTCACCCTGTCCTATTTTTGCCACTGATATTTACACCTTTGCCCAAGCATAAAAGCAATGCAAGTACAGCATGCAACATACCAAATCAGATTTCAAAAATCACATGACATTTATTTTGCCACTCAACTCATCACACAAAGTAAGAACAAAGGGCTGGAGACCTGGACAACAAAACCCCAACTTGGACAATGCAATTTCAAAGCTTATCTCTAGAAATGTTTAAATGAAAAGAGGTAAAACCAGCAACCCTTTGTTGTTGTGTACATTCATTTTACACTCATGCTCTGGAAGGCCACTCCCCTTGTCCATACCTTACATCATAAATGTTTTGCATGAGCTCCTCTCTCAGTACTTATCTGCCTTTTGGATATCTGTTTTTTCCTATCATCTGTCCACTTTGCTGAGCAGGAACAGAGTTGCCTGAAGCTATGAGTTAGCCATGAATCTTGGAAGTCTAATTAGAGAGCGGGAATTGTAATTTGTGAAAGAGAAGTAGTGGACCAAATGAAATGATGGAGAAACATCAGTAAGTGCAACACTGGGTGCTGAGGCTCTGTAACTTTTACATAATATCAAGGTGATATGCCGCATTTTTGCCTCAACAAGCTAATGAACGCAGAATGTCCTGTACAACAATGTCTCATGAATGTGGAGGCCAGTTATGCTTGGCACTGCCTATTGATTGAGTTTCATGTTGTGCCCACCTCTGAAGTTACCTTTTTCTTTAATTTATGTTCTCTTTCTTTGATAGCATAAGGAAGGTAAAGAACAAGAGCAAAAGTATCCTATGGTCTTTGATGCATTTTCTACCCAGCTCAGTATCACAATTCAAAAATGGCTCTTCTTTATGGTTTGGAAACACTATGCCTCTGTCAAAAATGCTCACTTTTGCCTCTCAAAACTTTTCACCTCTTCCCAGGGGAACTAGTTAAGCACAGTCACACTCAGTCAAGAGCAAAGAATTGAAAACACCTCCTAGAGTGACTGTTTGCATTCAACTCTCTCTTCTGTCCTCCCTCACTGAGCTGTCAGGGTCTTTAATCTTCCCTTTCCCTACCTGATCCTCTTACCATGTGGGTCTGACCCAGCTGACATGGCTAAAAGCTTCATGCAAGTATGGCTGTCAGGGGCTACTCCAAGTACACAGGTCAGAAGTATTGGTGTGAATGAAACAATAAGCAATGCTGATAATAAGATGTTTCTGACCAGGATCTGTTTGTACCACGCATCTCATTCATGTACAAGCAAATGGAAGAAACACTATTTTGGCTCCTTCCTGACCATCCCACCAGCAAGGCTAAATGGCCTCCTGCAGTATGAGAGGGCTTCTGCCTCGTGAGATTTTCACCTCAAGTTGGCAGCCTCCAGTGAGTTAGTATCAGCTTGGACTGTTTTGCTGCCCCACCGGAGCTGCCTGTGCTGGTGTGACTGGGAAGGCTCATCTCCCCCTTTAGCATATACAGAGCTTGGGGAGCTCTCCCAGGCTCCTTCAAGCCTCATAGCTGGCTGACACTCTCCCACCACCATGGGAAAAAGGGCTGGATGGCACCTCCTCTTAGAGGATCAGGAGCCTCAAGAGGAGGTGCAGTACTTCCAAAAGCTGCTGGGAAGCAGGGAAGAGGCTATTTAGCAAGAATACGCAATGCCTCCCAACCCCTAACACCCAGCAAGGGGATTTCCTCCTCAGCCCTCAGTCTAACCCTACACCAGCCTTTGCTGGCCAACCTCAGATGCATCCCCAAGAGGCTGAGGGAGGCATCCATTTCTGGAGAGGCCCGTTCCCTAGCAAGGTACTCACTCACCTGTCTTCTCTTCGGTTTGGCTGCTCTCCACTGTCTCCATTTGGGGTTGCGCTGTTGCCTTGGCAGTAGCATCCTCTGCAGCAGGGGTGGTGGTGGCAGTGGTGTCAGCAGCAGGCACGTCGGCTTGTTTAGGCTCCTCTTTGTCTTGGGCTTCGTCAGCCTTCAAGGACGGCGAGTTATCAGTGGAAGCTTTAGTGGCACTTTCCGTTTCGGCGGCGGCAGCAGCAGGCTTCTCCTCCGAGGAGGCAGCAGGGGTGGCAGCCTGTGGGGCTGGCTGCTCTGAGCCCGTGTCGGCGGCTCCGTCCCCTTTTTTCTCCTCCGCTGGCGCGCTGCTGTCTTTGCTGCCCTCCTCCAGCTGGGCACTGTCAGCGGCGGCCGCTTCTGTGGCAGTGGGAGCCTCGCTCTCTTTGTTCTCGGCCGCTCCGCCAGCAGGGCCTTCCTCCTTCTTGTCGGCGGCATCAGCCTCGGATGCCGGGGCATCTCCCTTCTTCTCCCCCTTGAGCTTTTTCCTTGTTATGTGTCCGCGGAAGCTGGCCTGGATTTTGGTGGCTGCCTTATGAGCTTTATCTTCTGGTTTGATGCCATCTTGCTCGATCTTTTGGTCCCCGTCCTCATTTTTTTCAACCTTTAAAGAACAACAAGGGAGGAGGGCAGAGGAGAAAACAGGGAGAGAAATTAAGATTTCTCCAAGTGCAGCCCAGGCTCTGGTTTCACTGGCAACGTCCCACCTTCCCCTCCTGCTAACGAGTGACAAGTTTCAAAGCAGCCTTTCCATTTGGTGTGAGTTTGAAGCCAGGTGGCTCTAATTTCATCCTAGGGCTGGACAGACACAGGGGGTTTGTAAAAGGAATTTAAAGCACCTCATCATCTCTGTCAGTGATGCTGAAAGCACCTTGGCTGTGTGGAAAGGCTTGCACCAGCTGGGTTGTCTCTATTCCCATGATTTATTTTCCCATCCATTTTGAAATATACCAATTTTTTCCCCTACTCATTTTCAAAACACTCTCCTGAGAGGGATTTTCACAGTCTTTGCAAATCCACCTGTGCCTTTAAGCCTTTGTTTCTTTTTAATGACACCTTGTTTCACAGGTGTGGGACTCTAATGACACCAAGTGTTCTGTCCTTTATATCTTTTTTGGCTCAGGATTGCCAACAGAGAATAGCATTGCTGCCTGCCCCACTGCAGATGCGTGCTGTCAGACATGGACAGATATTCACAGGTTACACTCCTCACAAATGCCCTGCCCACAACCACTCCAAGCACTTTGCCTCTGTCCCCCACTCACTGTTTCAATGAAGGAATAACAGGCAGATAGGTATCAGTCTTTCCAATTTCAGCGGATTATTATTATTTCAATGACTATCGGGGGAAATTCAGCTTTGCAACAAGAGAACTGGCATTCCCCATGTTTTTTAGACTTAAGCTGTGCATTAAAGTCATAAATAGGACCAAACAGAGCCTGTGCCTTATGCTGGTCTGCTGCAGCCAGATAATGCTCAGCTTGTAAATCCCCACTGAATCTATGGGATGTACAATGCTTCACCCCAGTAATTTAGCAGCTCTTGGGAAAGTAGCAGCTCAGGTGCATATTGATGAAAGGACACTGCTCTATTAATATTCCCACTGGGAAGCATTCAAAAGAGCTCCTCGGAAGCAGAGCCACTGGCCTCTTTGCTGTCTGCACCTGGTTTCCAACACTGACTCGGGTCACAAAAGAAAGAAAACGAGCTGGCTGAGAAAAATAGCAGGTTTTTTTTTTTTTTTTTTCCTGAGTGGGAAGAGGAAACCACTCCTGAGGCCACTGCAACTGAGAGGTGCCAACTGGGGAAAGGCCCAGGACCAGAGGAGCAGAGAGAGGCGACAGCCTATAAATACATTCAGAAAGAGTGCAGCAGGAATAAGGGAGAAGCAGCCACTGCAGCAGGCACACCTGGCACTGGGAAGACCATGCCTGTGAAGAGGGGGAGACAAGACTGGACACACTGGCAGTCATCACTGGGAAACAGACTGGAAGTGACCATTTCCACAGCGTGGGACAGGGTCAGGCATACACGTGTGAGCGAAGCTGTGCCACTGAACCAAACCCTTGGCCACTGGCACACCAGTGATGGTACCCACTGTCTCCCCCTGCATCCCCAGTGAGCACAGGATCTCCCACCCTAGCACCGGTGACCACCTGGGATCGTTCCCCAGGTGAACAGGGGCGAGCTTGAGTGGGTATGGTGGCAAGGAGCAAGCAGCCCCAAACCATCAAGGAAAAGGGCTGCTCCACACAGGTGTGCAGGGGTGAAGATGGGCCTGTATGCTGCAGGAAATAAGTCTGGGAGTGAGACTAGGTGCCAGTGATGCCTATGTGAGTGAAAACGCCTGTGAATGAATATGCAACCCATATTAATACACAGAATTCAGCACGAGGGGTCTTCGTGCTCCTGACCATGCCCGGGGACAAAACGTTTGATGTCCCTATCACAGGGGCACAGCTGAGCACTTAGGTCTACACTTCCCCAAGTGCATTAAGTGACACGGTACGGAAGGTGGGCTTTCACGTTCATCTGGGCTTGTCAGAGAGCAGGTTATGGTTATGTGTAAAGACGATGCAGACATTACATGCCGTAACCACTCATGTCTGTCTTTTGCTTGCAGAGCTAACTCTGCACTACGTTATTCAGCATCTGGCATGAGCTTTCCAGCCTATTTCAGCACAAGGGGATGGAAACAGTACCTTTAAACTAGCACGTCCACACAACAGCTGCAATCCAGCCCGGGCAGTGCAGGGCTCTGCACAGGCTCACCCATCCTGCTCCTCAGCAAATTTTGCAGCTTTCAGTAAGTTCCCGTGTTGCTGTGGCAACATAACTACTGATACCTGGACTAACTGGTTTAAGGAGAGTTTGAGTAGGCTTGCATTACACTGTAGCCACAGCAACATGAAGATAGACTAGGTACTCATAGACTAGGTACTCCTTTACAGCACCATGTAACACTTAGATGCCCTAGCTTTGACTCTTCTCCCTAAGGACTGTGGCCAATTTCAAACAGCAGCAGGCTTGGGAGGCTGGAAAGACAATTTAGACATAACTATGAGACCCTAAGGTCCAGTCCCATATGCCTGACTCCTGCAAAACTATTAGTGAATGTAACAAAATTGTTAATCCCTGGACAAAGATGAAAACCATTGACTGAAGGGAGATCTCTCTTGCCCCCGGCCTTGCTGCTCTCACATCCAACATACCTCCTGCACCAACGAGGACAGCTATTATGAAGCTGCCCTGGCAGGGCCTCAGGGCTGCCACCGAGTGCCAAAAGTACGAGAGGACCAGTGAGAAAAAGATGTCAATGCCCATTGAGGTGCTCTGCAAAGGGTACCCTTCTGAGTTCTCGACATACCCCAACTTCTGCCGCTCACTGAGGTTTGATGATAAACCAGACTACTCATACCTGCAGCAACTCTTCCACAACCTCTTCCACCGCCAAGGCTTCTCCTACGACTATGTCTTTGAGTGGCTCCTGACTCCAGAGGAATTGCCCTGTTACCTGGGCTATGCAGCCCTGCGAAGGCTTACCTCCTCCCCACTGCCAGCAAGAGGCCAGGGCGCAGCGAGCCACAGGGTTGGCTCACCTGCTATTCTGACAGATGAACTCGCAGAGGGCCGTGACCCTCAGCCAGCCCTTTACCTGGCAGGGAATTGGAGAGCACTTTTCCTCTCCAGGGAGGTCAGACTGAGACCTCTCACTCGCACCCACCTCATTACAGAGCTAAGGCAGTCCTTTGCTAGGCCGATGACATCATTGTCCTCTTATCCCAGGTGGGATGACATCAGTTTGAGTCCTTGCCAGATAGCACGGTTTGCAGCCGCAAAATGTATTTGCAACAGGGTGCTTTCAGCATAATTTCAGATATAAAAGATAAGAAACACGAGGTTGGGCCAGAGGTGGAGTTTAAGGTCATAGATGAAAGAAATGTACTAATAGTTTGTCTGTTCCAACTGTGGCCCTCAAGAATCCCATTTCTGTTCAGTCCTTCCCCGCTGAAGCGTCCCAGGCATTTGAAATTACTTATTTTCAGGCTACTGGCCTGCAGCTACTCCTGGGGTAGGACACGGTATCCATCTAGTATGTGTGTCATGTTGTATAACAATGGATTGGGTGAGAAACAGATTGTTTGAAACTTCTGTTCACACACACAAAAAAGACAAGAGCTCTTCATCTGTGGATTACGCACACAGCAGATAAACCTTAATTAAGGAAGCTGCTCAAAAATAACCTGTATACAGTGAAGCTCCTGGAAAGCAATTTATCTTCCTTGGAAAGCTAAAGGGGTGAGTCAGCCCTGCCAGGATGTATTCAAAAGCATCTCAGTGGAAAACAAGAAATCTATCTGTCTTACCTGGGACTGTATTACCCTGGGAATTACAGACCAGTTAGTCTCACCTCTGTCCCTGGGAAGGTGATGGAGAGACTCATACTAGATGTCATCTCCAAACAAGTTGAAGAGTGGGGGGTTATTGGAAGTGGGCAACACGGGTTTACCAAGGGTAAATCATGTATGACCAATCTGATAGCCTTCTATGATGCCATGACCGGTTGGTTGGATGAGGGGAGGGCAGCAGATGTCATCTACCTTGACTTCAGCAAGGCTTTTGACACTGTCTCCCATAACATCCTCATTGGGAAACTGAGGCAGTATGGGCTGCATGAGGGGACAGTGAGGTGGATTGAGAACTGGCTGTGTGACAGGACCCAAAGGGTAATTATTAATGGAGCAGGTTCAAGTTGGAAGCCTGTAACCAGTGGAGTCCCCCAGGGGTCAATACTTGGACCCGTGCTGTTTAATATATTCATCAGTGACCTGGACGAGGGGACAGAGTGTATCCTCAGCAAGTTTGCTGATCCTCTCACTCACACCCACCTCATTACAGAGCTAAGGCAGTCCTTTGCTAGGCCGATGACATCATTGTCCTCTTATCCCAGGTGGGATGACATCAGTTTGAGTCCTTGCCAGATAGCACGGTTTGCAGCCGCAAAATGTATTTGCAACAGGGTGCTTTCAGCATAATTTCAGATATAAAAGATAAGAAACACGAGGTTGGGCCAGAGGTGGAGTTTAAGGTCATAGATGAAAGAAATGTACTAATAGTTTGTCTGTTCCAACTGTGGCCCTCAAGAATCCCATTTCTGTTCAGTCCTTCCCCGCTGAAGCGTCCCAGGCATTTGAAATTACTTATTTTCAGGCTACTGGCCTGCAGCTACTCCTGGGGTAGGACACGGTATCCATCTAGTATGTGTGTCATGTTGTATAACAATGGATTGGGTGAGAAACAGATTGTTTGAAACTTCTGTTCACACACACAAAAAAGACAAGAGCTCTTCATCTGTGGATTACGCACACAGCAGATAAACCTTAATTAAGGAAGCTGCTCAAAAATAACCTGTATACAGTGAAGCTCCTGGAAAGCAATTTATCTTCCTTGGAAAGCTAAAGGGGTGAGTCAGCCCTGCCAGGATGTATTCAAAAGCATCTCAGTGGAAAACAAGAAATCTATCTGTCTTATCTATCTGACATGCATGTATGACATCTTGGTTACAGTATTGTGGCTTCTGGAATAAAGTGACTATTACTACTA